CTGGGCTCAGGCAATCCTTCTGCCTCAGCCTCCCCAGTAGCTGAGACCACTGGCATTTGCCACCATACCCAGCTTTTTGTTTGTTTGTTTGTTTCTAGAGATGAGGACTTATTGTGTTGCCTAGGCTAGTCTCAAACTCAAACTTGAGTGAGTGCTCAAGTAGTCCTCCCGTTTTAGCCTCCCAAAGTGCTGGGATTACAGGAATAAGCCACCAAGCCAGCCTGCCACAATGTTAATGGAGGAGGGAATATTCCTCACCCCACCCACCCAGGGCTGCCTGTGTGAGTCTTCCTTGTTCTCCCTGCCTAATTCTCCCTTGTCACCCTCTTTAGGGGTCCTTCCACCACAAAACCAGAATGGAAAATCCAAAGGAGCTCTGATCCCAGTCTCCTGCTGGTGCGACCCTGCATCTGAGACACTGAGAGGGGAGGGGGCAACTGTGGGGGAGTATTCCTGAATTTTCCTGCAATGCAAGAACAGAACATGTGTCATCTCCATGGCTGCATTGTCCCACACATCTTATGCTATTGTTATCTCAAACTGTTCAGAGGCAGAAGTTTCTGCCAATTCCTCTACCAAGGAGGCCCTTGTCCTGTCCCAAGAATAGTCTCCAGCTCCCTTTCTCTCTTGGCGTCCTCTCTGCACCCCCTGCCCAGATCCTCTCCACATTCCTCTCCCAAAAAGGGTAGGGACAGAAAGGGAAAGAGGGACTGCAGCCTCAGCAGGTGCTGGCAGGCAAGGAGGCTTTTTTTGTTTTTTGCCAGAATATGGCGGGGATCCAGGCTGGGGAGTGGCAAGGCCTGGCTATCGATTAAACCTTGTTCTGTGTGGATTTAATCTCACCACCCAAGGACACCAAAGCTGGAATTTCTGCAAGTCTCTCCCCGAAGCATCTGCCAATCAGCGAAGTATCTAAGGGTGTGGAGAGGATGGGCAAATGGAGGCTGGGGCTCCCTATGAGAAGGTAGTGGGTGGTGATGGGGAAGGTGAGATAGCATGGAAAGAGCCCTGAGAAGTGGGGGCAGGAGACCAGGGTTCAAATGCCACCTCTGCTATCTTCTTGCTGGTCACTTTGTGGAAGCTACTGCCCTCTCTGAGCCTTGGCTTCCTCTTCTGTAATTCAAAGAAGTAACTGAGGATCTCATCTGGGGTCAAGTGACCCTCTTTGAGTATGTTTCCTGGTCTATAAAATCAGAATCTTGTAATCCACCTTCCACCACAAGCAAAGGAAAGGTCAGTCCAGCTTTCTCATCCTAACGGTCTCATCTCTTGGTAGTCTTACCTCTCACTTGAGCTCCTGTGCACCCAACCTCCATGCCTTTTCTCATTCTGTTTCCTCTACCTGGATTCCTTTCTCTGTTTTGATTAGCATCTACTTGTCTTTTAAGACTCAGCTCAGGTCTCATGTCCTCCAGGAAGGCATGATCTCTTCCCTGCTGTCTGGGCTGGGTGCCTCTCCTCTGGGGTCCTGTGATATACTGGGCATAAGGCTATTGCTGCCCTTAATGACTAAGAATTACAGCCGAGGTTTATTGAGCATGTACTAAGTGCCTGCACCTCTACCAGGCCCTTTACCCAGCATCATTCTGTGGGGTTCTTACCATAATCAAGTGAGGGAGCTGCTGCTTTATCCCCATTTTCCTGATCAGAACACTGAGGGGGTGAATAGTGAGTGTCAGGGTCGGGATGTGACCCCAGGACAGTGTTGCTTCTAATTCCACTCTGATCTTCCACTTCATACTCTGCCCACCTCTACTCTAAACATAAGGCATAAAATCAGAGTCTATCCCTGCCCTATAAAACCAAATCCACTCTATCCCTGCCCTATAAAACCCTAAAGTTAGTCTACTGTTTAGGGCTATGCATTTGAACTTCCTTTGGCTATGAGCAGCAGGAGTGCATAGGCTCAGCTCTGTGTGCCTCCTTCCAAGCCTATCACAGTCCTAGGAGGGGCTGAATCCAAATCTCATGTTCTGAGTTCCATGCAGTTGAGCCTCCTTCCTTGCCCTTGTGAGTCCAGAAAGAGCCTGAATGTACCAGGGCCCTTCCCTGGGCCTAGCCCAATGGCCCATCTAGTGTCAGGTTGAATCAGCTAGGGGACCTCTGCCTGAAGCTCATGGTCACATGTGCCAACATACCAAGCTCTGGGCTGGTCTTCCTCAGATCTTAGCTCACTGAACTCACTGAATTCTCAGAAACATAAGGCTAAGATTTTCATTTCACAGATGAGGAAATCTGAGGCTCAGCTGACATCACAGAGCAAGTGTGTGGAACCAGAAGTGACCCCGAAGTTGTCTGATCTCAAAGCCCTTTGTCTTTCTCACTGCCTCATCTCTATTCCTGACTGGGCCGTGCTAGTAAATATCCCCAGAGGACTGTGATTCATATTTGCCATCCACCATGAGCCCATGGCTACACCCAGGCTCAGTGAGGCCAGTTGTGAAAGCCTGGGCTGGGCAGGTCCTGACTCCCAGCAGCTTCCCAGTAACTGTTTATTGGCAGAACTCAGCACGGCAGGGATTACCATCCCCACTTTATAGATGAGGAAGTTGCAATCAAAGAGGGGCAGGAAAGTTGCCCAAGGTCAGCTTTGAGTCAGCGGAAGAGTGAAGACTTGAACTCGGGATGCTAGGGGACTCTGAGCGCTAGGGGAGGAAGCTGCTGCAGGCCAGGGCCGGGGCTGGACTTTCCCACTCAGGTTCCCTGGGCTGGCAGCTTTATGGGCACTGTAAGTCACTGAGACAATTCAGCACTGCTCTAATAACCCTAATCAGGCCTTGTCCCCTAGAGGTAGGCTGGGCCCCAGGTGGCCTAGACAGTGACAGATGGTTGGTTTATGGCAGGCCAGGACCGGGGCCAGAGTTGGGAGATAAGACTGGGAATGTTAAGACCAGAAGTGGGGAGGGCCTCTCCTGCTTTGGGTTTTTGCTGAACTCTTTTGGAGATCCTGGCAGGTGGTAGAACTAGGGGTCCGTTCAGACCTTGGTCTCTTCCCTTCCAGTTTCATCTCTTGGGTCTGGAGAGTCTTGATAGGACCTAGTCCCTCCCCTTTGACCCCATCGGTTTCTCTCTCACTGAGCCCCTTTGCAAACTCTAAAGTTAGAGACGGCAGATACTGCAGGGGCCACACTCTGACCACCCCATCACTCATGCGCAGCCTCTGTGTTGTCCGCAGTTGAGATACATCTGTGAGGAAGCACACATCCTCAACCCTCCCTCTACTCTGATTCTTCAGAGGGGATGCCCTACCAAGGACTGCTTCTCCTCACCCATCTGTCTGACCCCAAAACACATCCAGGGACCTCCCACACTCCTCTCCCCTGGACTTTGAATGTGGTCCAAAATGGACTTTGAAGTGGTCCAAAAGTCACTGCTCAATAGTCCCTTAACCCCACTAAATGTCTCCAAATCTCTCCCATACTCATCAGGGTTGCAAGGACACCCCCTGGCTCCTCCCCCCTACAGTCTTAATCCCCAGAAATAGACTTCCTTTCTGCTGAAAGAGACATTTGTACAGCCCTGTGAACACAAACTCACTCCCCAGAAAAGGCTCTGGGTGTAGACACCCCCCCCAACTGTCATGGTCCTCATTGGTGACTCAGTTCTTAAGCAGTGTTGACAATAGGGCCCTAAGACCGATGTGGACACCCCTTCCCCTCCCACCTCCTCTCTGTAGGATCAAAGCTGCTCCAAGAGGCTGTGTGATCCTGGGCCAGGAGCAGGGAGTCAGTGGCGACTCTCAGTGAGGAGGAAACCCCTTGGTCTGGCTCGTTCTGGGAGAGGCAATTCCCCTTCAGAGCTCCCCAGCCCAGGTTCAAAGGCTGGCAGGGGCTGAGAGGTCGGCAGCGGATGGGGAAGCGACTGGACCAGAACATCAAGGCTTCCTGTTGATAGAGGGGGTCCAGGCTACTGTCCAGTTCCCCAGTCCTCTTCCCCACCCAAGTCTGAGCGTCAAGGCCCCCATGGAAGCCCCCACCCTATGTGGCATGCACAGGACCTGCAGTAGTTGGGGGGTCAGCCAAGAGAGGAGACAAGAGGTATCTTGGGTGAGGGCAACCCCATTTCCCCAAATGCAGGGGCCTCCCTCGAGGGAATTTCCTTTTCCCTGGACTCCTCTGGAGATCCTGGCCGATTGGAGAACTAGAAGTCCATTCAGAACCCAGTATCTTTTCTTTCCATCTCATAGCGCAGGTCTAGAGGGACCTCAATGGGACCCAGCTCCTCCCCCTTTGACCCCATTAGTTTCTCCCTCACTGAGCCCCCTTGGAATCCATTTCTTAATTCTGCCCCCTTCAAGTTCCCCCCAGCTCTGGCCAGCACATGAACACCAGCAACAGCAGTTTAGGGACAGCTTTGCTCTGTGTGGAAAGAAGGGCTTTTTGTGGGCTTTGAAAATAAGTTCGGAGCAGACTGGGAGGAAACGGAAAGATGAGACCAAGAGAGAGTGGCCCCAGCCTGGCAGAAACGGAGAGCCCTCCTTCTGGGCCACTTGCTCAACAAGCAGCGTCGCACATTCCTCGGGGCCTCATCTCTGAGGCCATGCCCACCCCACCCCCATCCCAGGCCACTCTCAGGTCGCATTCCAGGACCACCGCGCAGTGGTTGGCGCCAAAATGATGGAAGTCAGGCATCGGGGCACTCGCCCTGTGTGGGCCAGCACCTTGTGATGTCGCTTCCCTATGCCCAACCCAGGGACCAGGGCTAGGATGGGGGAGGGCGCCGCTTCTGAGCGGAGAGGACGCGGAGTGGGTGAGGGGGACGCGCGCACGGGCAAAAGGTGGCCGGGAGGGGCGGGGAGGGGGGAGAGCTAAGTATTTGAGACCAGGGACAGGCGGAGGGGAGGGGAGGCGAGGCTCCGCCAGGGGGTGGAGCCGCCTCCCGCGCCCCGCTGTCGGGGCTCCCTCCCGTCGCGGCTCCGCTATAAAATCCCGGCCGGCATGATCGCTGCACCCCCGGCGGCCTCTTCTGTGCGCGACCCCTGGCTGGGCGGCATCCTTGCTCTTGCGCAAGATGCGGCTGCTGCTCGCGCTCCTGGCGGTGGCGGCCCTGCCCTCGGCGGGTGCAGGTGAGCTCGGGGTTGCGGCCCCAGGTGCCCCTCCGCGGCTCCTCTGCGTCCCCAGCCCCCCGCTCCTGCCGGGGCTCCGCCGCGGGCGGCCAGTGCTGAGGGGTCCCGGGTAGCAAGCTCCGGGAGCAGCGAGGGCGCGGAGGCCGGGCCGTGCGCGACTCGGTGGCGCACGTGTGTCCACAGCAGGCGGGGGTGTGTGCACGAATGTGCGCGGCTCGGGTGTGCGGGGCCGGCGGCGACACGAGCGCGTGAGTCTGTGACAAGGATGCTTCTCGGGTCCGCCTCGACGCATGCCTTCTTTTCCTACCGTGGTCCTCCTCTGGCTGGCGGCGGGTCGCCGTCCGTCCTGCTGGCGCTCTAACTGGGTGACTGTCCTCGGCCAAGGCAAGGGCAGCGCGCTAGATATGGCACGGGCCCCGGCATCCCCGCCCCCAGCCTGGGATCCTCGCCTCCGGGGTTCGCAAGCACCCCTCGACTCCCCAGCCTCCAGAGCCGCGCCAGGAGTCTGGCGGGGGGCACCCGAGACCCAAGGTCCCCGCGGAGCCGGTCTTTCCGGACAGGGTGATTTTCGTTTAAAGATTAATGGTGAGCCCGAGCTCTTAATTATTCGTCTAGGTGGGAGGTGGCAGGAGAGGATTGTTAATATTTGATAAAGATCTAAAGGCGCTGCAAGCCATGAGGCACGAATCCGAGGCACCCTTCACAAGATCCCATCCGTCAGTCTCTAGCTCGGCTACCCCGCGGCTGATTCTTGGGGTCCACCTGAAACAAACCTCCTCCCCAAACTTAGCTGTTCTGCCTTGGAATCATGGAGTGAGTCGCCCTCGGCGACTTAGAGAGGAGCGTGAGCCCCTGTGCCACCATTGACGAGATGAGGGGGCAAATTTCCACTCAGCCTTTCCCAGGGGAGGTGGAAAGAGAAAAGGCAGAATGTGAAAAATGATATTTGCAAAGCTGGGCGCTTGACCCAGGCTAAGCAGCTAGATGCTATAGAAAGAGAAATGTTTTACCATGAACTTAGTTGCTTGGTGGCCATATGGCCTTGGTAAGTCACTTCACTTTAGTTTTCTCGTGTACAAAACAGGAACAGTCATTCTGACTTCAGGATTTTTAAGGATTCAGATAAGATAGTAGGTACTTAGTGTAGTGTCTACCTGGTTGTGGCCATGGTTATAAGACTGGACACCTGGCCTGGGGTCAGTCGGCAGGAAGCTGTCTCAGCTGCCCCCTTGTGCCCGACAAGCTGTGCTCCCCAGGGCTTTCTGACCCGGGCCTGCCTTCCTCCCCCCATTTGTCAATGAGGGACTTAAAGCTGGAGGGGGACCAGGTTGCACGTGGAAATACACTGAGTATCTGCTTTTGCTGAGAGAGGGGGCAGGGAGAGGGTATCTGCCCCCTTCAGAGCCCCGGACCCCCGGCTGGGAGTTGCTGAGACTTTGCCCAGGACACACGTGGGTTTTGCTGAGTTCAGGAATATCCCCTTTCCTCAGGGTGGGAGGGTGAGGTGAGCAAGGTCCATTAGAGAGAGTGTCTTCAGTCATCTCTAAAGAAGGGGGAGGGTGGCAGGTAAGTCAAGGGTAGGGAGCAAAGACTGTGACTGGCAGTGGGTTTCATTTCTCTAACCTCTGGTCAGGGCAGATGGATTGGAGGCAGGACTGGAGCCAAAGCCAAGACCCAGGGTAGCCCCTCTCCTCCCCAGTCCCTCTTGGAAGTGGCCTGAGACAGTAGGTGATCGTAGTTATCTGCAAGGATGGCCCTCTCCAGAATGAGCACTGGAATGTGAGTTGGGGGGTGCCCCTGCCACCTGAGTGAACACCCTCACTCCATGAACATAGACCTGACTCCTGGCCTTGGCCTCATCACCATTGTGTTTTCCTGGCTCCTGCTTCCTGAAGAGGGTAGTTACAAGCACTCTCAGCCAAGCAGGTCAAAAGTCTCTATGATTAAGACAGTGGATCAGAGGTCACCACTACAAACCCAGGAACTGTAGCCAGAGGCAAGGAAGAGCAAATTCCTAAGAACAGTGAAGCCTGGACCAGATGGGTCTCCTGGGAAGTTGTGAGGTGGGGTCACAGGGGGCTCTGCCCTTCAGAGCTGGCACCGGAGGACTCTGGCTTCTCCCAGAATGGCTTCCCCTCAGACCACCTCAGAGAGGGTCCCTCTCAACCATGGAGATCCCTTCCTTCTTCTGGACCCCTGAGGGGTGGGGATACTGGAGGATTATACCAAGGAGCCCCTCTCCACTGCAAATGATCTCTATTACCTCCTGAGTCTCAGTGCTGGGAGTTTGGTGGCACCTTTTGTCTGAGGAAGAATGTGGGGCTAGAAGCGTTAGTCAGTTCTCTTGTGGAGATTGGGCAAGAGGCAGAGACAGACCTGGAAGCTTCTAAGCCAGGGGGCCTGGGTGGGGTCCTTTGCAGAGTCGACCTGCATGAGGGTTCCCCAGATGCAGCGACCCCCAGGGGCAGCAGAGCCCTGTCCATGGCAGGGAATGGACTGTCATGGGGAAGACATTGCAACTCTGAAAAAGCCTATGTATGTTAGCAGGGTAGAGGAAGCCCTGATCCAAAGCTGGGAAACTCTAAAACCCAAAGTGGCTCCTCTGGGAGAGAACAGGGGTTGGGAGAGGCAGGGTCCAGTTTCCTGTGGATGCTCCTCCTGATTAGAATCCTCCCCCCTGCTCCACTCCCAAGAATCTGACTTCATGGCTCCCTCCCCTCCTGTCCCCATTCCAGAGGCCCCTTCCCTGGCCCAGACCCATGAAGAGATGGTTTTGGTGGGCAGCCCAGGCAAAAACGGAGAGGGCCCATTTATTGGGTCCAATGTGCACAGATGGGGTGGTGGGTACATTTAAAGCCCAGGCCAAAATTATTTGTACCCCCAAAGCTATTTAAATTTTTAAAGATTAAAAAAAAAAATCAAAAACCAAAAAGAAGAGAAAGGGCAGCTGAGCTCAGAGGCCTCAGTGTTGGCTGAGCAGCGCTGAGCTTTTCTTAGGAATTTTCTCATCCCTGAGTTATTTCCAACTCACTTCACATTCCTCCTCTCCCTGTCCCTCCTTGGCTTTGGCCATCTGCTTGCTGACAGGAGGCCACCAGAGGGAGGCAGGCAAGGGGAAGGGAAGGGCTTTACCAAGTGCCAGACTGCTTGGACCCTCTGTTCACTCCCTCCTTTGGTGCTCCCCACAACCCTATGAGATGGGTGTTAGTCCCATGCTACAGATGGTACTGCTGAGGCCCAGAGCAATTAAGGGACTTGCCTCAAGCCCACCTGAACCCCCTACGTGGTTCAGCCAGAATCCAACACTGGGTAAGATGCTGTGTTTACCCTGCTGATGCAGCCTTTTGAAAAAAGTAATAGGCTTTACTTCTAGGGCAGTTTCAGGTTTACAAAAAAGTTGAGCAGAAAGCACAGAGGACTCCCACATGTCCCTCTGCCCCTGCACACAGTTTTCCTTACATTAGCATCTTGCATTCATAAGGGACATTTGTGGTGCAATCTTTTTTTCAGAGATGTTGGGTTCTGCTGTCCTGAGGCTGAGCCAGAATTGAGACCTGAGAGTATCTAGTCCCAAAGACCAAGACAGTGGGGTGCTCTGGCTGAGGGAAGGACCTGGCTGTTTTCCTCCCTGCGGGAGCTGTGAAAATGTAGCCAAGGATGGGTCTTACTAACACAAGGAGGGGCATTCTGGGGAGGGGCCAGCCTAATCTCCTCCCTCATCTCAGACCAGCTCTGGGAAGGCTGCCAGGCTGAGGCTCTGTCGTCCCCGGAAAGGAGAGGAGGCTGGGTCCTAATTCTCCCCTTCCCCTCTGGCCAGAACTTCCTTTCCAGGTTTGTGTGGGGGATGTGAGCAGGGAGGGGGCTGATGACCAAGGGAGGAGCATGTCCAGGCCAGTCCCACGTTAGAGCTGAGTGGTCTGGGGGGGGCGGTCCCCTGGAGGGCTGTGAACCATTTTCTTTTTTTTCTTTGTTTTTTTTTTGAGTTGGAGTCTCACTCTGTTGCCCAGGCTGGAGTACAGTGGCATGCTGGGCTCAGGCAATCCTTCCACTTCAGCCTTCTACAAGCACACACTACCACACCTGGCTAATTTTTTGATATATTATAGAGACGGGATCTCACTGAGTTATCCAGGATGGTCTTGAACCCCTAGGCTCAGACAATCCTCTCGCCTCTACCTCCCAAAGCGCTGGGATTACAGGCATGAGTCACCACACCCAGTCTGCATTTTCTTATTAAGTCTCCTTCCCCTACACCCTCAGTGCCACATTCCAGGAACACTCTATCCCAATCCAAGCGAGAGTTCCAACAGCCTTCGATCCTGCCTATGTGTGTGTGTGTGTGTGTGTGTGTGTGTATGCACACATTCACACACACACACACCCCAGTTGCTTGTGTGCCCACAGAAGCGCTGGCACATTTTCATAACTTACACATTTCCTCTCTCTGTCCCAGAGTCACACTGGTGCTATGAGATTCAAGCCAAGACCTCCACCTGCTTAGGTGAGTATAGCCAGTCTTGGGTTGAAATGGAGACCGAGGGAGGGTGGGAAGGGTGAGGAATGGTGGAGGAGGGAGGACCCCCAGTCATATGTCAGCTCCCATCACACATGCACACTCCTGGTGCTCAGGGAACACAGAGTGACCCGGGTCTTCCTGGTACCCCCTGTCACCGAGAGGGTAAGTTCCTGTGGAATAAATCCTTGGCAGTGTTAAAGGAAAAGACATCTTGTCCCCCCTCATTTCCCATAACAAAATGGAGAGTCGTTTCTGTTCCAGACACCCCTTGCAGGGGGACCTGAGAGGTAGTCCTTTATGCTTTTCTTCAAAAGCTGACCAATTTTCCTGTAGTCTGCTTTCTTCCTGCCTGCTATGTTTTGGTGACTGGGCAGTGCTGCCCACACCTTACCCCTGCCCAACTGGGTGTTGAGTCACCAAGGTGGGGGGAAATGGGCTCCTCCATACCTCCTGCCCATTCCTCGGATAATGCTTAGTGTCCTTTCAGAAGCAGCCCTCCGGGGGTCCCACTCCACAGCTTCCAACTTTCTCCCACCCACCTCAAAACTTTCCAGCATCCCTGGGAAGCTGGTCATCATTGCAGTTTCCATTTTACAGCTGACAAAACCGAGGCCCAGAAAGGTGATGTGCACAGCATCATGAAGTTGTCCACACCCTGGAGCTCACAACAACCCTGTTCCCACCCTGTCCCACACCATGGCTAGACTCACTGGCCTTGTTCATGTGCGTGGAGGAGGAGGAGGAAGAGGAGGAGGAGGAGGAGGCCCAGGGAGGATGAGGGCAATATGGTCTTCAGGTCATCCCAAGACCTTGCCTCATGAGAACTGGGAGGGTGGGCCTGACCTCAGTGGGGTGGGAGAGGCCACACCTCGGTGCCAGGAGCCCCTGACTCTCAGCCTGCCCTGCTTCCCTGCTCAGGGCCAGATAAGTGGAGTGGAAACTGCCAGAAGGATCGCCAATCCCCCATCAACATCGTCACCACCAAGGCGAAGTTGGATGAAAACCTGGGACGCTTCTTCTTCTCTGGTTATGACAAGAAGCAAAAGTGGACTGTTCAAAACAATGGGCATTCAGGTGGGCTGGATGGAGAAGCTGGGCAGACACCCCAAGCTCCCTGTCAGGCTCAAGTCCACCTTTGCTGAGGAGGGGCTGGAAACCCAGCGGTAGTGGGAGCAGCTTCAGGGAAGAGGGAACACTCTAGCTGTGTTTTCAGTACTTTCATCAGACCAGACTGTGATGGGGGAGGGGAAACATTCCAGGAAAAAGGAACAACATGTGCAAAGGCGTGGAGGCGTGAAACAGCTTGGGGTGTTCAGAGAACTGCGAGCAGCTCTGTGTGGATGGAGGACAGAGAATGAAGTCGGGAGGGGCCCAAGCAAGTCCCGGGATCAGCCGGGCTGGGGCCCAGGGGCAGGTCACCTAGAGCTGAGGAGTTTGGACATTACCCTGAGGACACCAGGGCACCACAGAGGGGGTTGAAGCAGAGGAGGGATCAGGGCAGAGTTGCAGTTTGGAGCAGTGGGAGGTACAGGCAAGGGGGAAGCAGGCAGGGAAGTCAGGGAAAGGTCTGGTGTCCCACCCCTCCAGGCCCAGGACCAGAGCTCATGAACAGCAGGAGGGAAGGTCCAGTCTGGGGGGCGCTGGGATGAGGGACTGGGAGAAGCTGCGGGAAGGCCAGTTTGAGGGCTCTGCCTTCTGCTGTGCCCCCAGTGATGATGCTGCCGGAGAATGAGGCCACAATTACTGGAGGAGGACTACCTGCCAAGTACCGGGCTATACAGCTGCATCTGCACTGGTCCACATTGCTGGATGAGGGCTCAGAGCACAGCCTCGACGGGGATCGCTTTGCTATGGAGGTGAGGGTCCCCTTCCTGATTGTGCCTTGGCTGGGCTCTGGGTGTGTGTCCACCTTGGGTAAGAAAGGTAGTCCCAAGCCGGGCTCGGTGGCTCAGCCTGTAATCCCGCGCCTTTGGGAGGCTGAGGTGAGTGGATTGCCTGAGCCCGCGGGTTCGAGACCCGCCTGAGCAACTTGATGAGACCTCATCTCTACAATAAATCAAAAGTTAGCTGGGCGTGGTAGCACGCACCTGTAGTTGCAGCTACTTGGAAGGCTGAGGCGGAAGGATGGCCGGAGCCCAGCAGGTCGAGGCTGTGGTGGCTGGGAGCGGCCACTGCACTCCAGTCTGGGTGACAGAGTGAGACTCCAACTCAAAAAAAAAGAGGTTGTCCAGGCTGGGTGTCGTGGCTCACGCCTATAATCCCAGTACTTTGGGAGGCCGAGGTGAGAGGACTGCCTGAGCGCACAGGTTCAAGACCAGCCTGGGCAACTTGGTGAGCTCTGATCTCTACAATAAATCAAAAAATTAGCCAGGCATGGTGGTGCATGCCTTTAATTCTAGCTACTTGGAAGGCTGAGGCAGAAGGATCATCTGAGCCCAGCAGGTCAAGGCTGTGGTGGCTGTGAGCATGCCACTGCACTCCAGCCTGGATGACAGAGTGAGACTCCAACTCAAAAGTAAAATAATAATGATAATAATAATAAAAGAAAGGTGGTCCAGCCCCTCAAGAGTAGAAGTCCTCTCTCCATCCCTCCCACCCCCACCAGATGCACATAGTACACGAGAAAGAGAAGGGGACATCAAGGAACGTGAAAGAGGTCCAGAACCCTGAAGACGAGATCGCAGTGCTGGCCTTTCTGGTGGAGGTAGGACTCCCATCTGCCCAGTTCCCGGGAGCCAAGGTCTGAGGAGCCGCCTCCCAGACTCTGGAGACGTGGGACTTCAGCAAGGCAGGAGGGGGCAGGGACGTCCCCAGCTTCCCCTTTGTTCTCTGTGACTTGTATACCCCTAGGCCAAGTGGGGAACCCAGAGCCTTAATCCCAGAGGCTGCCTGGACTCCCCATTCGCAGTCCAGGAGAATGAACTGGCCCTCACCACTAGCTCCCCAAAAACCTCAAGTCCCCTTCCCTCCCATTCCAGGCTGGATCCACGGTGAATGCTGGCTTCCAGCCACTGGTGGAGGCACTGACTAAAGTCCCCAAGCCTGGTGAGTCAAGAGCTGGAGTAGGAGGAGGTGTGAGGAGGGGCTTCTTCCCACAAAGAAAGAGGCAAGGGTCATGGGGGCAGCTGGTTCCTAAAAGTGGGAGGCATGAGGGCCCTTTTTCTCTACCTCCACTGGCAGCCTCCTTTGTCCTCCCACCCAGAGATGAACACCACAATGAGGGAGAGCACCCTATTGGAATTGCTCCCCAAGGAGGAGAAACTGAGGCACTACTTCCGCTACCTGGGCTCCCTCACCACGCCAAGCTGCGATGAGAAGGTCATCTGGACTGTGTTTAAGGAGCCCATTCAACTCCACAAAGAGCAGGTACACAGGGCCCAGGCCGGGTGCAGCTTCCCACTACTGGGCTCCCCAGAAATCATCTCTCTCTTTGTCCCCAGAGGTCCCTTGAGATAGCGGTGGAGAGCCCCAGGGAGTGGAAGTCCATTGGTTCAACCCATGGACATTTACTGGAGACAGACAAGAATGGTCTAGGAGTTTCATCCCTGGATTGAGGGCTGGATGGGAGGCCATGGTAGGGTTGGCCAGAAAGGCGTCCAGGCTGAGACCTGAAAAGTAGGTGGTCAACCAGGTAAAGCAGGAAGCCAGTGTCCCAGGAAGATGCATCATGTTGGGAGGCCTGGGGCTGGCAGAAGCTGCTTAGAAACACTAGGAAATAGGTCCTTCATTCAACAAATGGTGCTTGAATTTCTACAACACACAAGGCTCTGGGTAGACTGCAGTAAGCCCCGAGGGCCAAAGTCCCAGGCCTGTGGCACTTTCATTTTACAACAGTGGTTCTCAAAGTGTGGCCCCTGGACCAGTGGCACTGGCATCATCACCAAGGGGATTTTGCTAAAAATGTTAATCCTCAGGCCTCAACCCAGACCTATGGAATCTGGGAGTGGGGCCCAGGCATCTAGGGCCCTGCAGGCTCACCCCAGCCCATATCCATGCATGCTCCAGTGTGAGAACCTGTCCTGCAGTCACAGTGATAACAGGAGCCACAATCAAAGGTTCTCAGCACTGTGGTGGGGGGAAGCCAGTGGGCACTCACCCCCCCCAAGTGCCCACACTTTACATCCCATGTCCTTACCATCTTCAAACAACCCTGAGAAGTAGGAGTATGGAGCCCTTCTTTTCCAATGAGTGGGAGAAGGAGTTAGGCCCTCCTAAGATCCCACAGCAGGGAGTACGGCTCCACCTGCTCCCACCCATTTAGCCTGGTCCCTTCCACAGATCCTGGCATTCTCCCAGAAGCTGTTCTATGACAAGGACCAGAAACTGAACATGACAGACAACGTCAGGCCCCTGCAGCGCCGGGGCCAGCGCACGGTGTTCAGGTCCCAGGCCCCGGGACGGCTGCTGCCCTGGTCCCTGCCTGCCTTGCTGGTACCCATGCTCCCCTGCCTGATGGCTGACTTCCTTCGATGATGGCTCACATCTGCACGTTACCTCTGACCTCAGCCCTGTAAGGCTTGGTCTTCCTGTCCTTAAGTTTCCTAGGTTCACTTCTGGCATGATTAAAATATGGGTATATTTTTGGAGAAACCTTTCTCAAGTCTGTTTTTAGCTCTCCACAGCTACCCCACCCTGGTGCCCTCAGCCCATCCCTGACCAGGGCTAGGGCCTTAAAGCCTGGGATTCCTCCCAAGCAATTCATACTACCTGTGTGAATTCCCTGTCTACGCCCTGATCCTTTATACCTGGACCTCAGAGAGATGCTGAAGGCACCTTGGAGCTCCAACACAGTGGAAGTCAGGAGTTCCAGTCCAATCTCTTCAGTATATAGTGGGGGAAACTGAGGCTCAGAAAGGAGGGGAGGCTGGATGGAGGCCACCTACTGAGGCTCTGGCAGAGCTGACTGAGACCCCAGCCCCACGCTTTCTCCTCTGTGCTAGGGGTGGAGAATGGGGGTCATGTGTGGGGACAGCCTAGGCATGGTGGACAGCAGGGAGTTCGTATGTTTGCGCAAATATTTCTTGAGCATTACACTGTAGGCAATGGGGCTACAGCAGGGTCTAAAACAGACAAGAAAGCCTGTCCTCCTGGAGTTCACAGTTCAGGGGAGAGGCCGCTATAAATAAGGGAGGCGAAGGCAGTGAGTGATATGGGGAGAGAAGTCAGGGGAGGGAAGAGGCAGTTGATGTGGGTGGTTGGAGAAGGAGGCATCTGAAGACTGGAAGGAGGCAAGGGAAGGAGGCCATCTGGAGGCAGTAAGTGTTCAGGTCTGGAGGGGACGATGCCTGTGGACCAAGCTGCAGGGATGCCAGGAGGGAGAAAGGGCGCCAGAGAGCAGGGGAGGCAGTGGGGGAGTGGGGTGGTCTTTGGTCTCGACCTCCCAGAAGACTTAGCCCAGGGACCTGATCTGGCCACTCTGTGAGCTGTTGAGGTGAGGGCAGAGCAAGGGGACAGTTTCAAGGTTACTGTGCTGTCCAGGAGCAGCTCTGACGGTGGGCCAGCAATGAGGTGTGGGAGAAAAGGGAGTCACCGGGGAATCCAAGGCTTTGGGGCCAGAGCTCTTGGGACTTTTCAGGGAAGGACCCCACCACCACCGCACGACTGTGCCTCTAATGTTTTTCCTCCTGGGGCACAAGAAGGGAGTGGAGGGAGTTAGACTAGAGGAGGCAGGTCGGGAAGGGAGGATCCAGAACATCAGGGAGAGAAGAGGACCCACGGGAAGCCCCAAGCCAGATCAGTCCCCTTTATACTGGAGCTGAGGGGCCCCAGACTCTCAGACCTCACTGTCCAGGGCAGGTCTGGGTTTTGGAAGAGCATGATCCTTGAGAAGCAGGAAAGGGGATGAGAACAGGCCTTGCTGAGTGAAGGAGGATCCCCAGAGACTGGGATCAGGGGTGGGGCCAGTTTGGTGTGAGGGTGACCCTTCTAACAGGTTGGACTGCCTGGAGGTGGTGAGTCTCCCCATGGAAAGGTGTACCAGCTAGGAGGACATAGGAGGATCCATCACCCAATCTTGAAGGCTCTGCTGGCGGCTGGTCTAAGGCAGAGAGCTGGTTGGAGGAGGTGACCTCTAAGTCATTTCCCTGGGCCTCCTCTCTGAGCCCCTGACCACCCCCACCTAAGCCCAGGGAGGGGGGGGGAAGGGCTGTCCCCATCCCTTCCCCTCCCTTTTTCCTTTTGTGACCAAAAATAAGCACCCCCCTCCCTTCCTTGGTGACCACACAGCCTGGGGGGCGGGGGGAGGTTCAAATTGCTGTTGCCATGGCAACAGCAGGCAGCCTGTGTCAGCAGGGGGTGTATGGACACGAACCTGTTCTCCTTTGGTTCCCATGCAGGCTGGGGAGCGGGAGGGGGGAATGGAAGCTCCCTCCCCCACTCCCTCCCCGAAGCTGGGGCTCTGAGGTCAGAACTGCCTCTTCCTGCTCCCAAACCACACCCCACCCCCACCCTCATCCCTGCCCTCAAGGCAACCTTCAGTAAATAGTGTGGCAGCAGGACCAGGAAGTCCTGGCTTCCCCACCCCCAGGCAGAAGGCACAGGACCGTCCCCTGTACCCCTGCCCCCATAATAATAAACCAGGCCAACGGGAACCAGACTGGCCACAGCTTGTCCAGGGCCCAGGCCACCTCCCGTGTCCCGCCTGCCTTCCCTGTGGCCTGGAGGCTGGAGCAGGTGCTGCCAGCACACAACACATAGCAAAGTCACTCCGGGCCAGCCACCCCAGAAGTGGGCAGCCTTCCCCCTGGAATTGGCCCCCTACACCCTGGAGGCCGAGGCTGATGACATTCCTTATGCTGTGTGTTGCTGAAGGCCTTCCCCTTTTGAGTAAATTCACCCGCTCCGTGCCACCCCCACCACTACCAGCAGATCCCCTCCCGGAGAAGGTGGCTCTGAGTTCCTGGTGCCCAGCCTGACCCGGCTCCTGAGGCAGTTTCCTCAAAGGGGATGGGGGCTACTAACAACCCCCTTATTCTCAGGAGTAGCCTGGCCCCTGAGTCCCCCTTTCAGTCCCTCTGACTGCCCTGGGTGTGCATACATACATACTTGCACACACACACACACTTTATTGCAGTGGGGCAGGCCTGGAGAAAGACTCGTGGGCTGATAGTGTTGGCCACAACCTGCCTTCTCAGGGTACTCTGGCTCTTTTCTCAGAGCTTCCCAGCACAGAGCGTGAATCACTTTGCTGAAGCCTACTGTGTGCTGGCCACGGGCCTCGCCACAACGCTATCTGGGTGGTGTCATCTCTCTCATTGCATGGATCAGAAAGCTGAGGCAAAGGGGTCAGGGAGTCTGTCAGAACCTGGGCCACTTCTCTGTACCTCGTTGGCTCCTGTGGTCCACTTTTCCCTTTGGCAGAGTCATCTGTATTCAGGGGCAGGCTGGGGTTTACAGCACCCTGTCCCACCCTGTTCCTGCCTTTCTATCCCCAGTAGGCTGTCTCTTTGGCCCTGAAAGGAGGGACCCCAAGAAATTTAGAATAAACTTAGTTCACATTTTGCCTCAGCATAACCATTGATGCTTAGACTGACACACTTTGAATCGAGCACAGGTTAGACATAGATAGATAAATTTCCAGTAGTAAGGAAGTTCCAATAGTTAGGAAGCGTTCAGACATTTTACTGCAGGCCAAGCTGGCAGCCTACCCCGCCCCTTGTCTCCTTTTGGCCCTCTGGCTGGCTGAAACCATAGAAATGATAATAAGACTACCTTTTTGCTAAAGAGCTTGTGGATTGGACACATCTGACAGGTCTCTTGCAGGAAAAACCCCTCCCCTTGTCTCCTTCCATCTAGCCCACAACCATGGCAGCAATCATGCGATTAACACACCCATCTGCCTGCTGTCCATCACTTAACGTCAGTACCTGTACTTACCTGCCTCTTTGTGATGATGTGGAATAGACCACCACCCAATCACCTTAATGACCTTCCCTCATTAAAGGGAAGGATTAAAAGGACTCAACCATGAGCAACCAGCTGCCATTGCTGGGCCATTGCAGCCATTTCCTTGCTAAGCTATGGTGTGACCATGTGCTCTTTGAGCTATGGCCAGGCCATGTTTCCTGGCTTTGGCCCCCTCCCCTACCTTGGGGAGGTGAATCTCCTTTCTCTCTCAGTTAATTTCTAAATAAACTAAATTTTCTAATCTAACTTCTGTGCAATTCTTTGCATCTTTCTTACGACACCGGATCGCACACCAGACACTCATACCCCGGTGGGCCTGACCTAACATTCTGGAGGCCCCGCTGGGTGTGTGACTCTAACAGGCTCCCAGTTTATTTTTAATTTATTTTAATTTTTGAGTCAGAGTCTTATTCTGTCCCCCAGGCTGGAGTGTAATGGCACAATCACAGCCACTGCAGCCTTGACTTACTGGGCTCAGGTGATCCTTCCACCTTGGACTTCCAAGTAGCTGGAACCACAGATGTTTGCCACCATGCCCTGCTGATTTTTTGATTTATTGTAGAGTCGAGGTCTCGCCAAGTTGTCCAGGCTGTTCTCTAACCCTTGGGCTCAGGCAACGCTCTTATCTCTCTCCCTCAAAGTGCTGGGATTACAGGCGTGATCCCACACCGCGCCCCGGTGTGGCCCTCTGTTTAGATTTGGCATCCGGGTGGGAGCCAGGCTAAAAATATTCCTCTTGTGTTTAGAAGATTCTTGGAAAACAAACTTCCGCATCTTGGCCCTCAGTTTGCACACTTGCTGGCCCTGCTTCCTGTGGTTCAGATCTGACAATGGAGAAGGAGGAGGAAGGGGGAGAGTAGAAGTGATGCTGGTGGGATGTGAGGGTGGGGTTGGTTTCTAAAATGAATTTTAGAGCGACCAGCAAAGCTTTTCAACAAAATTTATTAGAGAAAGATAAGGGGAAAGAAAGGGAGACATGCCAGGGATGGCATGGGCAAAAGAAAACACCCTTTTTGCTCTTTACAATAGACCTGATATACTTTCACAATGACTGATATGCTGAAGAGGGTGGAGCCTGACATCTCGGGCTCCTGATGGGAGGAGAGAAGGGAAGGGGTGTCTTTTCCTCACCATGTTGTCCTTTACTGGAGACTTGATAGACGTTTCAATTTACAAGTTCTTGAGCTAAAAGGTGGTCTTATTATCATTTCTATGACTTGGGTCAGTTAAGGGGTAGTCTTTGGCCTTCTGCCTTTGAATGGGAACCTGAAAGTTTCTTAGCAATTATTATGCTAAACCATGAGTTAAAAGGCTGTGCCAGCCAGCACGGTGGCTCACACCTGTAATCCCAGCATTTTGGGAGGCGGAGGCGGGAGGATTGCCTGATCAGCCTAGGCAACATGGCAAGACCTCGTCTCTACAATAAATAAATAAATAATTAGCCGGGTGTGGTAGTGCATGCCCGTAGTTCCAGCTACTTGGAAGACTGAGGCGAAAGGCTCACCTGAGCCCAGTAGGTCGAGGCTGTGGTGGCCATGAGCATGCCACTGAACTCCAACCTGGACGACAGAGTGAGACTCTGA